AAGACAAAGGTAAGTATCCCCTTCTTTCTTTTTCCACCAGGAAGCCTGGTCTTCGATGGCAACGGGAGTTTCAAACCCGAGCAACGTCCGCGCTCATCACCCCGGGGCCAGAAAAGAGCAAAAATCACGCAGAAACCTCGGCGGGGCAAAGCACTGAACCGGACGGACCGGGACAGGAGAGGAACCGGGGATGCAAAACCGACTCTGAACAAGCCACCCAGGAGAGGCTGCAAACGCAAGAAGTCTCCCAACAAGTCTCCAATCGCAACTCCGCACCCGGGGCAAGTCTTGGCACCCGGATCGCCCGAGCTATTTAAAGCGGGGGGAGGGAAGGGGAGAAGGTCGGCGCGCGCTCTGCTTCTACTGAGCTTCCCCCTCCCTTTCCGAAAGCGGATCGTCTCCTCAGCGACCCCTGCCCTTCTCTCCCCCACCCAGCCCACCCCACACGGGCTCCCAGCCCCACACCTCGCGGGGCCTCCTCCATGGTGCCGGTCCACAGCTCCGCCGCTCAGAACACAGTTCCAGCCGGATCAGTCCCGCGGCTTCTCGACAAGTTTGAACAGGCTCCGCCCCTCGTCCGCCCGGGACTCCTGGTGCCTGGATTTCCCCTCCCCTTCGCTGGTCCGGCCCCGCTTTCCTTCGCCTCCTCTTCCTCTTCCTTCCCCCCTCCCCGCCCCGCCGCCTCCCCCCCCCGCCCCCCAACCAGCAGGCATCCAAATCTTATGGCGCAGCGACTCAAGCGCAGCGTCGGGCGCCATTCGTGGGCTGCTTTGGCAAGAGCCCGCTTTGTATCCAGACCTCATGAATGGGCGGCCTACTGAAAATGTACTATCTTGGGAGCTCCCCTTGAGACTTAATAACACCCAGCATCCTGGCAGACAATCTATATAGGCCCTGCACCGAAACCCTCCATCGCTATTCCTTCTAATTTCACCAGCTCTTGCTTTGATAACGATGATCAGATCAAGTCCTACAGGTTTCCTGGTGTCATGCTACGATCAGCCACAGGTATCTTTGTCAGTATTTTTTTAATATTTCCGTCTGGCAAGAATATCCATGCCCAAGTACGCCTTCAAGCAAGCCTTGGCAAAGGCAGCTTCAAGTTTGTTTCCAGACACATGCATCAACATCCTCTTTTCGGTGCAATTGTTAATCATTTTAAGGAATTATCATCATCATCATCGCTGCCACTACCATAGCAACAAGTTAGAATTACAATAGACCCAGATAGAAACGTTGGGCATAGTTCTGAAAGTACTGATGGAGATGACCAAAGGCTATTCTCTGCATTTTGCTGAGGAAGAACTTGACATATGATATAAAGAGGGTAATATTCTGGTATATTTCATGGATTACAGCCCCCACCCACTTCCTATTGTACAAACAATAAACAATAAAGGTTTGGGCTAATAATGCCACACAAAAGAATCACATCTTTATTCTGTCTGCCTTTTTTCAGGAAAGAAGGATAAACGCTCCTCTCTCAAATATTGCTTTGCTAATTGGGGTCCCTTGCATAAAATTTATTTTGAAGTTAGTTAAGATCTATTGTTCTTTATTAGATGTATCAGCCTTATAACCAACTGGAACTTTATCTGCCTTCCCATATATCACCAATTTAAAAAAAGTTTAATTCACATTGAATAAAACAAAGTAAAAAATATTTTAATTTCCTTGATCTTTTTATGGCTTAATTTCAGAACACAGATCTCATCATGATGCTGAAAGTATACATCAACACTTTTATGTTACCTCTATTTCACACTGCATACTATCTTTTCCAAATCATTTGCTGTATTTAAAATCAAATAATTAGTTATGACTTTTAATTTTTTTCACTAAATATGTTTATTCTTTTTTATTATTGCTGGTTTTGTGCCTTCAACTCAGAGTTGGCTCCTGACAAGTGCCTGGACTAGTCCCTGCAATTTTCTTGGGAAGATATTTGAAGTTTTTTTTTTATTGATGCTGTAGGAAGTTAGCACTTGGAACTGAGCCCAGAAGAATAATTCTTCCAACACTGCCTTTTTCTAGGGCTGAGAGAGAGTGATTGGCCCAAAGTCACCTAACTGGCTTTGTGCCTTAGGTATGACTAGAACTCATGGTGTCCTGGTTCGTAAGTTGGTGTCTTAATCATAACATCAAACTGGCTTTCTTATTCTGCCTTTCAGTCCAATGATTTACAGGAAGAAAATACATATAATATTAATGTAATACATAAAGACTGACACAATGCAATGAACAAGTGGCACTGAGGAAATCCAAGAGGGAATTAATTTAATCTGACTGCAGAGTTCTGGAAAAATCAGAGCATTTTAAATCAGGAGAAATCATTCCATGTTGTTAAAAGTAAAGGAAATGCACTACCCCCAGAAAAAAACAAAACATTAATTTCTCATGCATGCTGAAAAATACTTTCTAGAGTAAAATTTCATCTGTTTTTTTCATATAATAATGGTGGACAACCTTTTGTAGCAGGAAATTGAATTATTTTTGAAAAATTAAAATAATTTTTCAACAGCAAAATGCTGCTATGAGCACTACGATGATGAAACTGGAAGGAATTGTGCCATTTTTTCCCCTCTCCCATTGCAGTGGTGTGTGTGTGTGTGTGTGTGTGTTTAAAAAGTAAATTACATTTAACCTATTGAAAACTTCTTTGATAAAAAAGACAGGAAATTGTTTCACTTTTATTTAGCAGTTTTCTGCTGAATTTTAAGCTACAAATAATGAGTTGCAGTAACTGTCACTAAAAAAATTGCAATAAAATATATTGTAAAATACCAGCTGTCTAGATTCTGCAAAAAAATGAATTTTGTTACAATCTTTAGATTAATCTTTAGACTATCAACAGAAAGCATCTGTTGATAGCTTCCCTTCAGTTTAATGATCTGTAAAGGAGAGCTCCAATATATTTGTGGAACATTCCCCAGGAACAGCCTCCTACTAATTTCAATTATGTGAGGCAGTTTGTGTTTAGACATTTACAAAGCATATATTAACATCCTCCATGGGACTACTTAAGCATGCACATTAAACATGCACACAACACGAAACATAAGCAGAAACTTGGGGTTCAATCAACATACAGCTTGCTGTCTCTCACACAGTCTCATTTCTCCATAAATAAAATTTAGTGCCAGTATTAGACTTCACAAGACTTTTGCAGAAAATTAATGAGTTCTAAGATCCCAAATGGTAAAAATATTTTAAAAACTTCCTATGTGTGTGTCTTATTTTGGTTTGTTAAATATTTTAAAAGCTCACTGATTTTAAGAAGACCCCAATTCTCTCCTCTTGCTTCGGTTTTAGAAGAAAAATCAATCATGGTGTGCATAGTTTATTCTTGAAACTTAAAAATGTGGTTGTTTGGTGGGGGTGGAGGGAGAAAGAAAGCAGGAGGAGGAAGTTTTCAATAATTGTTATTATCACAAGAAACTCAGAAGAAACTGCTATTAAAAGAAAACATCTCCAGCTCACACAGTTCATGATCTTACATCTGATCATTCCATTTCATCCCATCTAAGTCATTGCCATATCCTGTCTTATCCAGCCACAAGCTCTCCCCAGCTTTTATATCTTTCTCTATCACAGGCAGTTTGTTCCATTTGTGCCAGGCTTTTAAGCAGTGCCTGATCTCATTTATACAATTGTAATAGCAGCACTGGTTGTCGCAAAACAGAGACCCATATGCAAGAAGCTACCTGCTCTTGTATTGACATTTGCAGGCTATCATCTCTGCAGATGGTAAATGTCCCATTCCTCAAGTTTTGCTGAATCCTTCCGTATACAGTACAGATTTACCTTAACTTCAAAGAATCTTTTAAAATTCCAACAGCTTTTTCTCTTTTAACCACAAGAGGGCAGCATTAAATTGCATTAAATTTTCATAGGTATGTGTGTGAATTTATACACACTTCCTAGTCAGTGTGATCACACAAGATTATTTAATTTGTTCCAAACTTTGGCACTTTAAGTCAAATAATATTCAAACGCACATCTCTAATATTTTAGAAATGACAACAGACAGTAGGAATCTTGTGGGTAAAGCATTTTTCCCATTGGAACGTTTTTGTTTAAGTATATCTTTGACATACAAGAACTCTGAATGAACAGTCTAAATGGGACATAGCCTGGTCTAATCTGGCTAATAATTAGGCTGGCTAATCTCAAAAAATAGGCAGGATTGTATCTGGTTAATACTTAAGTGGGAGAGTAAAGGGAAAAAAACCTGGGGCTATAACCTAGACTGAGAAGTTAAAAATCAACCTAGAAAAAGGCAATGAAAAAACACTCTCACACTGCTGCTAAGAAAACAGATTCAGATATTCTTTGGACATCAAGTTCAACACAAAGTTATTATTAAGCCCTTGAAGGTATGAGCTTAATTTTTAAGTCAATATTTGCTGGCGATACATTTTTTTTAACCATCTCCAAGTTAAACAACTGCACAAATTAGTTTTTTCTTGTTTATGACCTAAATCCTTGTCACATGGCTTAGCCTGGTTCCCATGAATGAAAATGGTTCCTTCTGTCATTTCTGATATCTATTTAAATGTCTGGCAACTGCCAACACTTCCTTTGTTCCATTCCCTTGAGCTAAAATAATCATTTCCTCTTACTGTATGAGATTGGTCCTCCATATCTTTTGTCTTGTTGGAACTTTTTTCTAAACCCTTTACAGTTTTTCAATATATATATATATATTTAATTGCAAGAAGTTAAAGCATTTAGGAGTTTGGAAATCTTTGGAACCAAACTAAGCATGTAGCAGTTCCTTGTTGACTGTACATAAAGAGCTGCATCAAACATGATTTTAATTAATATGCAAAAGTCTGACTCCCACGCTTCCCCAAGTTTATGACCTCTGGATGTGCTGTATTACAGGTTGCCATAATTTCCTGGCAGCATCACTGACTAGGCTGATAAGAATTCAGAGAGTTGCCACCCGAAGCATTGGGGGGGGGGCATCATTCTGATATGGTTGCTTTAGGCGTTACCTTCTTCATCCACTACAGGCAGGCAAGAAGAGTCCACTGGCCTTCAGTGATGTGAAAAGGAGAGCCTCCTGCAAATAAGAGAGAGAGCAAATCACAGTTAAACACTCTTTTAGAGCATTCTGCTTCTGCATGCAATACATGGTTTGTTATAGAAGGTTACAGATATTGTAATACTATTTTCTAAAATGGTAGGAGAACAAGTAGATGTCAGGAGATTTATTGGTAGCAATATATTTAAGAAGTGATTTTTCAAATAATTTTGCCACTTTACTGCCTTCCAGAAATGTTGGATTATAGTTTCCAACATTCCCAATCCAAGTAGTAACTAATTACATGCGACAATTTTTAATTGTTCTGAGCTTACTAATAATTGATTTCATCAAGTGGAAGTGATGGTAAAAAAAAGGAAGGAACAAAACCTCTTTAATTCTGTTTTTGTCTTTGCTTCATCACCGACTTTTTGGAATGCAGCTCTATCCCTTACCAACTTGCCATTTGAAGGCGTTATTAATTTTTGTGCCTCTGTGGTAGATTAATTTACAAAATGATTTGATGAAAACAACATTCCTGGTTTAAATCAGAGTTCCCACTTTACTCATCAATATATGCTGAAAGCACAAGGAAAAGGCAGATCTTTCACAGCTCTCTAAGTTGCTTGATTGCAAGAATGAAAAGACACTGAAAGAATTTTAAATCAATTGGCATGAACTGGAACTGAGTTTGCATCCTGTAACATCATGTTAATCTCTGCCTCCTCTTAGGAAGCAGGCATGTGTCTCTCTCTTTTGCTTAAACCTGGAATCTGGGAAAGAAGCAAGGAAGCAAATTAGGCATGAAGAAAGGTTTTTTTTTCTAGATCTACTAATTCACGGCGCTGGTGATTACATGAGATCCAGTTACTTGAGTGAAAACCTTTTTCCAAGAACATCTGCCTGCCCCACACTCTCTCACAGGGAGGACATGCTCCAGGTGCCTTCTTTTAAATCTTGTCATCTTTTGGGAGTTAGGATGTTTGTCTTCTCTGTGGTTCTCCCTGCACTCTGGAATTATCTTTCCCCACCCCCATATACAACAGGCCCGAATTCTTCTCACTTCCAGGAAAGCTCTGAAGACTTAGCTTTGTTTATAATGGACTGTGAAAATAACCTTGAGAAACAGAAGAGGCCATCAGAGGGGAAGATAAGCTCCTCTTGTTCCTCAAGATTATTCTCACAGGCACTGGGGTCAGTTATGCGGGAGTGTCCCTTGTGGGTGTTGTACTGTGTGCTTGGTCGCCATTTTACATTTTGTATATTATACGTAGTTTGCTTGTTGTTAAATAACTTGGGTTTTTTTCCCCTTTGGGATTTATTGCATGTAAACAATTCTAAGTCACACTTCCTGACTTGGCCAACCTTATAAATCGTGAAATAAATGAAAGATAAAATAAATACTGAGGAAGTTTATCTTGATACCACAATAGCTGCAAGTGGATGCTAAGACGTGCGAGCAGGCAAGGAAAGGACTCTGAGTTAATGGGCGATTCACGTTTGCCAGAGCTGCCTAAACTGAGATTGAAAGTCACTAGAAGATCAACAGCTCTTTAGGTTTTTAATGTCTCTGAGTCCCTTGGAGCTGTTGCTCATCATCTGCGCAAGAAAGATAGATGGTTTTTTAAGACTGGCTTACGGAGAAAGTAAGATATGTCCACAGTTCAGCCTTTTTATGGCTTTTTATGGCTAATGGCTTTAATAAAGTTGAAATCAAAACCTGCTGGTCCTCTAAGAAAGCAAGCCTACCTGCCTGCCCATCATGCTTCAGACTTTGGCATTTATGTCAACTTTTGGTGTTTGCTGTTTATAAATAAGCCCAGCCCTTCAACCCCTTCTGTGTCTGGAGCAGCAATATGATTGGCCCAGCAGGGTGCCTGGAAATTCACTGAACGATCTTGCTCCACGATAGATATTTTGGGGTGGGTGGGAAGACAGAAAGTGAGCAAGAAACAAGGAGGAGGCCATTCTTGAAAAGCAGAAACAGCCTTCAATGAATGTAAGTGGAATTCATTTACTTGGGCCTCTCCAAATCTTGCTAAATATCTCACATACTCAGGAGGCAAAAAGAATTGACAAATTTCAGCCAGGTCAATTTCATAGGGCTGGTGAAAGCATCAAATATAAAATACTTTATACTCTGAAAAGATCATAGGAATTAAGAAGATTCTCCAAACACTTTAACACTTAATTCAGATTTTTCAATTCTACTAGGAAAAAATACCATCTCCTCTTCTTCTTATTCCATTTCCATTTTGTTTACATTTTTTTTGTAGTAAACCATAGAATAATCTGAAGGGCTAAGGCTTGTCTTTTAGCTTATGTGGGTGTCTGCATGTGATCTTTCTTAGCCTGAGGGCCAGTTTTATTTACACAACACATATTTTACTACTTTAAACCAGGAGTTTCCAACTTGGCAACTTTAAGATTTATGGACTTAAACTCCCAGAATTCTGGGTTTTGAGACAAGAAGTCTTAAAAAGTCTTAAAGCTGCCCAGTTTGGAGATCCCTACCTTAAAACATTCAGACACATTTCAAAAAGCAATCCGATCTGATCATTTTGTTCCAGCCACTTTGGGGGCTCTGAGGGAAACCAACAAGCCCAGGAACTACCTATCTGAGCATTTGTCTAACATCTACCCTACAAGCTATAATATTTTAAAAGATTTTAAAGGAGCAAGTCACAAAAAAACCATCTTTGGACATATATCAAGCAGACAAACTTTTTATTAGCTTGCAGACTAGTGCAGCAAAGTGATATAATACAGTTTTGGAGCATTTTGAGTTTTTAAAGTCACCTTTCTGAAATATTTAAAACACATTTATTGGAACTTAGGCATCATCTAAATGCAGGTCTAGACTGATCTTAAATAAAAATACTTTAGCTGACCACAAAAGAGTTCCTTATTATTTATAAATAGGAGATTCTGCTTTCAGACGGCCCAATCACATGCTCATGTAATCAGAAATTTCAAATTTCTACAGCCCCAAATTCATGACAGACTCCAAACAATTGCTTAGTTTGCCAAAAGAGGAAATACTTTGTTGAGCTGAAGTACTGCTGTCAGCTCATACGTGTTTCTGCCTATTTCTAACAAATGTTCAACCGAAAGTCCACTTTTGAAAGTCTGCCTTAGGAGAACTTCTCCCCCTCACATTTTAATTAAACTTAAAAATGTGACTGTATGCTGTCTTGCACCAACATACAAAATTTCATATTTGTAAATTCAGCCTTTCTCAGTCTCGAGCTGATGGTTGAATACATTTTACAACATCTGAGTTGTATTAATATTTTTATTGTTCTAGTTGTAATGAATTAACTCCCTATTACTGTTAATCTTCTCATCACTCCTTATCACCCATCCCCTCCCACTTGTGCCTGTATGACTGTAACTTTGTTGTTTGTATACTTACGATTTATTTTGACTATTTCCTAGTATGATTTGATTGCTTATTGTACCCTATGACTATCATTAAGTGTCGTACCTTATGATTCTCAACTCTTGACAAATGTATCTTTTCTTTTATGTATACTGAGAGTATTTACACCAAGACAAATTCTTTGTGTGTGCAATCACACTTGGCCAATAAAGAATTCTACATTCTATATTAATATATACCTCCACAATACTATATTTCTCCTTAACATCCCACAATAACCCTTCTTTTAGTCAAAATGGGGAAGACAAAATGCAGCCATACTGTAAAGTTGACATGGTATCTATAGCTGGAACTTTTAGTAACTACCAGGTACAGCAGGCTCCAAATTATTTACTTGCATTCATTTTCCATGTATATTTTCATTCAATTTTTAATTAAATCAGACTGTCCGTCCCCAAAGACTAAAAGAAGACAGAAAATTTAAAGGCTCAGTACCCTAAAAACTGAAATAAAATAATACAACAGATACTTTTAAGACAGAGACAGCAGGTCAGTTAAGCACTAGTCCTCCAACTCTTTAGTCAAGAACTTCTCACAAGATAATGTTCAACTACTGTGTTTCTCACAAAATAAGGCCGGGCCTTATTTTTTTTTGACCCCCGAAAAAACGGCTAGGCCGTCTTTTCGGGAGTGACTTAATTCCCCCCCCTTGCATCCTCAGGTGGGCGGGCAGCGACAGCTTGGATGTTGACCTCAGCATTGGTGGGGCACTTCGAATCGGGAGACCTTCCGCCACCGTTGCTTTCCCTTCTCCCTTGCTGCCGTGGCGTTTAGAGCAACGCCGTGGCGTTTGGCGCAGCCCCGTGCGGTCTGCCAGGGCTCCTCCCTTCAACCGAAGCCCGGCGGAGACACTTAGCTTCAGGCGCTCCCTTTGCCTTCAAAGGTAAAGCCAATTATTTTAAAAATGACGCCCTACTACAACAAAGACTCCCCTGCCCAAGAGGGCAGCCCAACCCCACATGGGAAGGCGAATCTCCCAGGACCACAGTGCAGGATTGGCACACCTCGGGAGAAGTGCCCAGCCGCCATCCCTGCCTGGCACCGGGCAGAGCACAAAGAGCTTCGCCTGGGGTGCCCAGCGCAGCTGACAGGCGGGCCCTCCTGCCCAGCAGCAGAACTCTTGTTGGAGAAACACGGTATATATCTACTCTCAAGTTGGCACGTAAATGAAATACAAAGTATTGATGGCATCTTAAGTTTCTGAGAAGAAATATGATACAACTGCCTCAATAACTATTCTAGAAATAACAAATGAATAGTAAAATAATCCAAACTTTTTAACTGAACAACTTTCCTGTGGATTTTGTTTCTGAGCAAGCTTTAGAAAACTGAGTTCCACAGAACTCATGCACTGATTACTTTGTATTTTAGCTCCATGATGCATTCAATTCCAGCTCTTCACTGAAGGTTATATAAACCTAAAATAACTCAAAACGGGAGAGGTCAGCTAGTGATTTCCCAGCCTCTCTTTCTAACTAAATATTCCAAATCATTTCATACAGCTATTCATATACACCGTCTGGCCAATGATCAAGGCAGTTTATAATAGATATAATGTCCATGCATTAAGACCATCCTCAAATAGATAGTCAAAACCAAATAAAGTGAGTCTTATCCGAAAACAAATCCTATCCACTATCCACCAAACGTGTGACAGAACAGGATAGTCTCACAGCCTTCAAGAAGGTTGGGTCTTTTTACAAGCCTTAAGCATGATGCTATTCACACATTCACTTCATGGGGGAGGGGGGGTATGCTTGAACATCTCCTCTTGGGAAGATTGGAAAAGGTCAAACCTAATGAGGAGACATAAACTTGTAGGAACCGGTGAGCTGAGCTAAGCAATGTGGCACTTATAAGTCAACCACAGCACTTGTAATTACGCTTAGAAACTAACCGGCAATCAATGCAGCAAATGGAGCACTGATGCTACACAGGTAATCCCCATTGAACAACAATCGGGACCAGCAACTTCATTGCTAAGCAACATAATTGTTAAGTGAGACATCAGGTGACAGACTTACAACCTTACTTCTCCTGCGGTCATTAAGCAATCCATCATGTGACTGCAGACTTACAAGCCCACTTTCTCCACGGTTGTTAAGCAAAATGGCTCCGAGTTGCAATTTTATTACTGGCTTCTCCATTGAGTCTGCTTATTAGAAGCCTGCTGTGAAGCTTGTGAATGTTCGTGTGATTACAGAGATGTTACTACTGTCCGTTGTGCTGTCAAAAACAGGTTGTAAAACTACTTTTTCTGTATCACCGTCTAAGTTCAAACAGCTGCTTTAACAAGGACTACCTGTATGATAATTACGATATTATCATAATCAGGGCTTTCCAATGCAGAAAGGCATCCAACTAGCACACTGGCTGAAACTGAGCAAAAGCTTCCCTGGCCAGGGCCTTCATCTGCAGCTCCAACAGAAGGCAGGGGAAGGGGAAGAAACAAGTTATAGACCTGCTATTCATTTAAGAGAAAAGTGACCACAACCAAAGCCAAATTCAGTATTAACTACATAAATTACCAAGAAGGAATTTCTCTGTCTTGCTAGGTTTTAATCATAATTAATCTATAATTATGGATTTTTATCAAGGCATTGTGATGTTTGCAGTGTTATTTTTAATGTATTCATTAGAAAAGATAATAAAAGTAAAACTACAAACATTATCTCCAACACTGAATTTGTCTTGTATACAGCAGCCATGTGCTTATTCTTCTGTGTAATTAATGTTACTTTTAATATGGGTTTTTATCACATTATCCCAGAACAAATGTTAAATTAACCAGCTTCTAATTTCCTAGAGCCTCTTATGAGCCCCTTAAAATGTTGATGTTACACTAGCTGTTTTCTTTTTTAAAAAATAGTAATTTTATTAAAAATTACAATTGCAAAGATAAAAACTAATACAGATCAAAAAGAAGGAAAAAATAGAAAAAGACACATGTATATATAAATAAAACAAGTGTAAACCAATTTTAATATATTGTCACATTCTCTTAAGATACAAGAAATGATCATTTCTTCCCATATCCAATTTCTTATCTATAAACAAATCCTTAAAACTTCATCATTTCAGCCCTGATCAGCAGAAGTCCAATAAGGGTTATCAGACAAAAATGTTTTTTCTAAGTATATCATTTGAAGGATATTTTGTTATCTTGCTGAAATATCCAACCTATTTTCAGTTTCAATTTCTTTCCTATCTGTAGAATATTGGCTTGACAACCAAGAAAACTCTGTACCAGAACTGCTCCGATAGCTGATCACTTCTGAACAATACAACCAACAGATTACTGCTAGTTGAAAAGTTTAGCTGACATTGGAGCAGTTGTCCACAGGTGCACAGTATAGCAATGTTTATATACAATAGTGAAATGCATGGTAGAGCTGTAAAACAGAAATCTTTTCTCTGACTTCATCGCAGCAGTTCTGATCTCATATACAAAGAAAATCTTGATAAGTCTGAAACATTTTGGAGCACATGACCTAGAAAACAAAAATCGAACTGTTCAACCACAACTACCCAAGATACATTTGGAGAAAACAGGATGAAGCTTTGAAGAAAACGCTTGCCAGCTATTAAGCATGGGGGTGGTTCTATTATGCTTTAAGGTTGTGTGGCAGCCAGTGGCACAGGAAATATTCTGTGGGTGATTAAAAGAAAGGGTTTAACTAAATATCAAGATATCCTAGAAGCTAATGTCCCAGTCACTAAATAAATGGAAGCTATTTAATCAACAGAAGAAGGAAGGAAGGAAGGAAGGAAGGAAGGAAGGAAGGAAGGAAGGAAGGAAGGAGGGCCTGCTAAATGACCATTATGTGCATGGTAAAAAGGGGCATGTAGTAATGCCTTCTCATGTTGAAGCTGGTGACAATAACTGTGGATGCTTCATCGAAGATCTCAAAGATGTAATGCTCACAGTTATAAGAATATTTCTAAGCTAGAATAGTTCTGCAAGGAAGAGTAGGGAAAAGATTCCAAAAGCAAGATTAGAAGGACTCTTGGGGTATAGGAAATGCTTGAAAGCTATTACTTCTGCCAAAGAAGGTGTTAAAGGATGTATCTGCTATATTTTTTCCTTTATTTTGACTCTTAAATAACTGTATTTTGTAAGCAGCAATCTTAGCATATGTTCACCCTTAGTTTTGTTTTAGTTTTATCGTTGTGGGGTTTTTTTTCAAAATAATAGTTTATGGTATTTTTGTATTTTGGCTTTTTATGTTTACTTTGATCATATATACTACCTTAATCTGCTGCTAATGGGACAGGCTATGTTGTGAAATGTGTGTGTGTGTGTGTGTGTGTATTAAAATTTGTAGAGAGATTTAACTAAATGCCCTGTAGAGACTGTATCACCTTCTATTCACTTTGAAATTTATTAAGTATACAAGTTTGATCAAGGTGCCTAAACTCTGGAAAAGAACTATACTGTATATGCAAAAACTGGAATGCTGTAAATCTTTCATAGCAATCCTTCTTTGTTTAAGATTTTACCTGGAAAGTTAAAATTTTCACTATTACCTGATGTACTGTTTTTCTGCTGTTGCTACATTCTCCAGTTTAATTCATTTGTAACTCTTTATCAGATGGATAAATATATTTCCTCTGCTGATGTTCTCCTTATGATCATAATACAGTAGTAGGTTTTTGGACATACCTCTTAAATTTCCCTCCCAGACTTCTGTGGAATCCACTTTGGATCGAAGTCCCCTGGGCAAATAATCACAGATTCCATTTTATTCATAATGATAATGAACACACAATACTGCAGAAGCTGATATAAAAGATGGTGAGCCTCAAAAGAAACCCAATTCTCTTTTTCAAAGCTATTAATGAAAGCTGCCTAAATTCTTAAAAAATAACAAGCAAAGATAAGACCTCTTAATTTCACATTGTTTCAATAAGCCAAATTAAAAAAAAAAGTCAAGTAAACCGACAACTTTCTTTCCATCTCCTTCAGCTATATTGGGACAAGCTCAAGAATTCTCAGCTAGCAAAAAATTGAGGAAGGATGATTTATACCAGGGGTGTCAAACTCAAGGCCCGGGGGTGGCCTGCAGGGTGCTTAGATCTGGCCCGCGGGGCTACCCTAGGAACAGCAAAGGACCAGACCAGTGTGGTGCCTCTGTCAGCAAAAATAGAGGGTTGCAGGAGGGCATCTCAGCTGTAAATGGAGCAAGGGCCACAGGCGGCCCCCCTGAGCTCCATTTTCGCTGGCAGGGGGTTGCAGGAAGCTGTCGTAACCAAAAACAGAGCTCAGGAGCCTGTTTTTGCTGGTAGAATACTTGGGCTACCACAGGCGCCCCCAACATGAGTGACATCAAACTGGCCATGCCTACACTGGTTATGCCCACCCTGGACCCCCGAGGTCAAACACAACCCTGATACAGCCCTCAATGAAATTGAGTTTGACACCCCGATTTACACAATTTTTAGGCAAAGCATGGAAGAGCAAGTTGTACTATTCCTGTAATACAAGTTGTATTATTCCTGTATAATATGGGTAGTCCTTGACTTATGACCACACTTGAGTCCAAAATATCTGGGTT